GATAGCATTTTCAGAANGCGGGCCACAGAAATGGGTTTCTCACNCTTTCTCCGAGCAGCTGTGCTTCGTGCCGAATCCCACCAGGCTCCGTGGCTCTTCAGCCTCGCTAGCGCGTCCATCAGCACACGAGCCATCGCGGCACCTCATGGTCAGATCGAGGAATTGTCTTGACAACAAATGGCAGCCCAACACGAGATCAGCAAGAATGGTCCATCCATGACGGTCACGCGGCAATGTCATTTGGCCACCCGTTCATCCCTGTCGTCGCTTGCACCACAACGACGACAACGCACCACCAGGAGCGCGCGCGCATGCCCAGCCCAAACACATGTACATTGAATCCAACCATTTTTTTTTTTAATGCATGTTGTTACGAATGCCACTTCCGATTGACAGGACCGTACTTGTATTTGAATGGCAGGAACAATCACAATGTTTGACAGGGTTCCTTGACGAGTGTCGTCAGTATTCATCAGCATCATCCTGCAATGGTTGATCACGATTGCCAGAACTAGTGTCTTCCAGGGTGATCAGTAGCTTCTTGACATGCGTCCATACTTGCAGTCCAAAACACGAGCACAATGTCGTCGACGTAGGCCTATGCCCAAAATTCGGTGCCTGCCAAGTCATTGTAAACACATCCGTTTCCTCAGAAACGGCGGCAGCTCAGCTTAGTTTGAAAACACCTGTCGAGTTCCAGGTATTATGCTCGTGAGGCTTGTTTCAGGCCAAAAAACCGCCTTGTTGAGCTTTGCATACTCACTCGGCAAGAAGTAGAAAGCCAATGGGCCCCGTAAAAGTCTTGGTCTGTTACACAGCTCAAGGTGATCTCGCTTACATGTTAATCTCTTTCATAGTTTGATCAGCGATCGTTTTACTTCGATTACAACATTATCCAAGCCTAACAAATAGTCTGTCACCTCTGTTATCATATCACAGCCCTCGCGGCTGCCCCGATCAAAATCTCAACGCTTTCAATCACAAACTCCACAAGGTGCCAGTGGCCTGCCGGCAGATGCTTGTCTTCCGAGTACAGCCATGCGATAAATCTTTCGCGAAAATGTCGCGTCTGCAGCGTCCCGGGCTGAAGGTCGTATCCCATCCGCTTGGCCAGGTGGCGCAGCCGCGGATGACAGTCGGCAAGGAGGACGATGGAGCTCAAGACTCGTCCAAGGCCTTTATCGAGTGCACAGCCCGGCAGATGCTTCAAGGGGTGGCCGCCAATCCTAGATGGCATGCCACATCTGGCGCAACATTCTCGTGTGGCAGATTCAAAATCAATGTTGCACTCATCGACACTGTGCCCCGCGAGATGGCACCGGGTGCATGTGTCGTCTGATTCGGGACAGATATGTTGAGCTTTCCAGACGGCTTGAGACTGGCGAATGGTACATGGCATGCAATAGGCATGCATCAATCTCAGCGCATCCAGAAACTTGTCAGCCGCCGCCTTGTGGATCAGGCGCGAGCGCGTCGTCTTGGCTCGCTTGTCTGATCTCAGGTGTGGCATCGACGCAGCCTCACTTCTTCGCGATGGTAAAGCAGCCGGGGGCAATGTAGCAGATGTTACTCGTTTCGCAGAAGACCGCGTAGAGTGTGCGCCAGATAGTCCAGAGCCTTGGTTGCCCAACAACGAGCAAGGGTGCTGCGTGGCCTCAGCCTCTGCTGCAGGGTCTGCATCAATAGGGTCGTCACAATCGGAAGAGCTCTCCATGGGTGCATCTAGGGCAGCTGTGCGCTCCGCCAGAGCCCGGGCACGCGTATGACGCAGCGCTGCCGAGGGCACGTTTGCCCTGGGCCGTGGTGACAAGGCATCGGGAGCGGATGGGACGGGCAAACGCATCGGCAAGGCCGAGGGTACCGGTAGAGATGGCAACGGTGCTCCAAGACGAGGCAATAAAGCCGTGTGAATCTGCGTAGCCTCGTTTGAAGCTGCAGCTTCTGTTGCGGGCCGAGGCACACTTCCACTCTCTGAAGTGGTTTTGGCCCGCTGATCTGGCACGGAAGAACATGGTGCATCATCTTCTTGCAGTTCTGTCAGGGAATCAAACTCAAGCTCAAAGTCAGATGCCGTTGGTGTTGCTGGCAGGGACATGATGGGTTCTGCGGCCTCTTCGTCAAGCCGCGCTGCACGTGGTCTTGGCAAAGCATCACCCATGGCCGAGCCTGCTTCAGAGGCCAACGTCACGCCGGATGCTGGAGCTTGACGAGTGTCACTGCTCTGCACTGGCTGCGCCCGAGCTTCTTCCTGTCGCTGTGCCTGAAGCTCGGAATCTGACACCGTGGGTGAATCTGGCACGGCCATGGGCTCTGCGGTGGCTGCATCAAGTCGTTCAGCACTTGACCGTGGCAATGCATTAGCCATCACTGCAGTCTCGCCCAATGGATTGACATGTTCACTCTGTGAGACGCTGCTTGGCTGCACTTCCTGTGCCATTTGCATGCACACGTCACAGAGAGCCTGGCCGGTGGCAAGGCATGTAGCAGCGCGGGGATCCAACATTTTGCCAAGCGTCCACCTTCGACACAAGCTGCCCTCGACAAAGGCTTCCATGCCCGGTGCTGGGACGCACCTGACTGGCAGCCACAGCTCGGCAGCTCCGCCCTTACCATCACGGCCAGCCCGACCAAATGCCTATAGCCGATTACATGCACACCATTAGCTCAAACAACCATTGATTTGTTTTTTAAGTGAGACAGTTCCGCGGACGTTTGAGCAGCAACTCACCTGTACCAGGGTATAAACGTCATGGCCACTGCCATACCATAGCACGTGGCGGACGGTAAGCAGGTCCACATCCATGCTCAAACAGCTGGTGGCCACAATGACGTCGCATTCACTCTGTTGCCACCGCGCCAGATGGTCCTTCTGCGCCATCTCTTCCAAGTCTGCATAGCAGGGCAAGGCTGCATAGCCGCGTGCGTGCAGCTGGTCACACAGCAGCTTTACCTCGGCCACCGTGTCACAAAAGACCATCATGTGCACACGCTCCTCATTCTCCTGACGCGTCATCCGCTGGCTGTCCACAAGACCTTGCACATGCGACAAGAAGGCCCGCTGGCCGCCATGATGCACACGCAGCTCCACATTGTGACGCATCGTTTCCAGGCGGTACAGTTTGCCCCCTGCTTGCTGACCCAGCTGTCGAAAAAGCCGCTCTTGGTCGCACATGCATAAAGTATCAGTCAAGGCCACGCGCTTGATGTTGGTCCATCCGCCAGAGGCCACGCAGGCCCCGATTTGAGCCATCATGTTCCGGTGGCTGGCATCAGAGATGAGCATGTGCGCCTCGTCCAGAATCACGGTCCTAATGCCTTGAAAGCAAGCTCGTGCGTGCAGGGCGTCAGACCCTGCGCAAACAAACTTGTCAGTCGTGATGATAAGCACATTGAGGCCAGCTGCTACCGGCGTCGATGGGCCCAGCCACCTTTGCGCACTGTGGCCAGCCGCTTGCAGACGCCGCAGCAAATTGTCTGCCGAGGTCGCAAAAGGCACAATCCACAGCACCGTGCCGGCATGCGAGTGACAACCCAGTTTGGACATGGTACAAAGCGTCTTGTCCATGTCTAGCGGCGCGACAACAATCAGCCAGCCATCCTCGGCCCGATGCTGGTCAATGGCCGCTGCCAGGTCCAATTGTTCTTGGCTTTTAAAGCCGTGGCCCCACGAGATGCGTGCCTGCTGGGCCAGCTGGGTCATGTAGGTTACATCATGCTCAGCTTGCGTATCCATGATGATGCGCCCGTCTGCTTCAAGCTTTGATGACCCGCTCCAGCTTATGGGGTGGCGAACTTCCAAAGCTTCCTTGGCGGCTGTGAGCTCGGCCACGCTGCGCTTGCGGTCAAGACCCAAAAAGGCATGCCAGCTTTGTGAGGCCAGCTGATGCATCAGACGTGATGACATTTTGGCTTGCAATTGGTTGCTCGCTGCAGTAGCAAAGAAGTCTTTGGCCATGTTGCCCAAGGGCTGTGCCTGGGTGCGCATCAGGCTACCCAAAGTGCTCGTGGGGTCGGCAAAGAGCCGGTTTGTCACAAATGTTGTCATCCAGAAGGTCGCAGCGTGTCGCCACTTTGCCACTCCCAGCGTAGGCTGATGCAGGTAGGTGGTCATTTGTCGACGAAAGGCAGCGTAGATGGAGGCTGGGCTAAGCATGGTCTCCAGAGGCGCAATGTTGAAGAGCAAGTGGCTGTTGTTATAGTGGCGTTGAGCGTCCTGTACCTCGCGTCGCAAGGTCATGCCATCGTCGTGGCTCATGTGGTCTTCATCCTGCTCGTCCTCCAATAGATCCTCCTCTTCCTGATCATCGTCATAGGTCCCACGGCCGCCTTTGTGAGGAATTTGAAGAGCGCCCCGCTTCTCCAGCCAGCTGGTTAGCATCTGCTCCAGAGGCTTGCACAAGAGCAAATACATGAAAATCAGCTTGCTGACTTCCTCGTCCATGTACCGAAAGGTGTGCTGCTCATCTAGAGAGAGCCCGTGGGTTTTACCCAGACGGGTCAATATGGAGAGCTGCCTTTCAGCAAAAAACACGGCCCGTTGCCGGCCCACGCCATTTTTGTAGGATAGCCCTTGATATACGGTTGCTTGAGGTGGCAGACCTAACAAAGCGATCAGGCCAATGCAAACAGGTAAGAATGATACAATTAGCATGCCAAACTTCTCAAACAGAGTCTTTGCTCGATCGCAAGCGTACCTCCAGCCATGTGGGTGTAGGTGAGCGCCAGCTGGTTGAACCTTCCCACAAATAGAAGCCATTCCCGCACACGGTCTTCTCGAAAGGTCAGCTCTTCATCAGCTCCTTCTGAGCCAAGCTCTGGGCAGATAAATTCTTGCTGCAAGCTCGGAGTCTGGCCAATGTGATCCAATAGGGCCCGCTCAGCTGGGCTGTCATGGCCCACCCACCAATTCTTCACCCTGTTGGTCCGATCCTCCTTCCACCGTAGCCGGGCATACTCGAGAGTATGTTGCTCTCGCAGACCAGATCCCAGCAAGAGGTGGGTGTCCAAGATCTCCTTCATATCGTTGCGCATCTGTGCCAGGGCGGTCCCAATCTCTTTCACGTTGAGTTCAACACCTTGACAAACGATAGTGTGCAGTGCCTCGTCCGTCATGTTCCCGTCCGTTTGCACGTCAATATCCACTCCAACCTGCCCCTCGGCCGTGCTGGCAGAGCGAGCCGCCGCCATGCGCTGGCTCAAAAAATGCACCAGCCGTCCAGACTGTAGAAAAGGCCTGAGTTTACCCGCAGTGGCCCATCGCTGTGCCTTGCCAAACCGGAGCAAAAACAGCTTGAAAATGTAAATCAGGCCGGCCAGCGTCGTGGTCCAGCGCCGGATGTCCTGCAAGACACCGCTTCCTGTGGAAACGGCCGTGCACAACAAAAACACGTTGACAAAGTGCACCTTGTCGTTATCAAAGAGATGTAGCTCTGCATTCACCAGTGCCAGCCACAGTGCCGCCAAGGGCTCGACAAGATCCTCCCCGCTCAGTCCCGCATCCAGCGCCTCTTGCACGGCCAAGGCAGCTGTAGTTATGGTCTCCCCACGGCTGGCAAGCGCCTGGCTTAAAAAGCTGGATGGCTCGGGGGCTGGCATTGCGTCCAGTTGCAGTAAAAATTGCACCAAGCGCGCTCCAATGTTCAGGTATCTGCTCATCGTGCTAGGAGATACTTGGGGTAAAGATTGCGGCTGGACTTGATCATCTCCAAACAAGGACGCCACGGAAGCAGCCGCCAGACCGTGCTGGGACAATTGTTCGTGGGCCTCCCAGAAGAGCTCTTGCATGCCCGACACAAGTGGTGCGGGGGGGGGGTGTCGTGGCCCAGCTTGAGAATTTGCTCTGGGGTCAGCTCGTTCAGGATCAGCGTCATGCCCACGCTATCGTAGAACGGGTGCATCTGGTGAATGCCGTGTGGGCAGCGCTTCTCCTCGGCCTCTGAAGCCATGGCCTGGGTGCTGGAGATTAACTGTTTGAACCGCTGCTGCTCCTCCAGCTCCTCCTCATTTTCGCTGACGTCGGCTGCCGAGGTATCGTGGCTTTCTTCGACAATGACCTCGATGCAGCGGGCTCCAGCACCGCGCAGCGGCTTTTGCAGCTTGACACGTCGAGGCGGCTGATTGATATCGGGGTCACCAACGTGCTTGTTGTGCAAATGAAAGTGCAGGCTATTCTTTGTCGTGAAGCATGCCTGACAAACGGGGCAACTCACGCCGTCCAATATCGGAATGCCTTCCACGGGTACACGCGGCCCAGTCTCTGTTGCAACATCCATCGATGGCTCCTCGGGCTGCAGAGAGCGCAACACTGCTGTGGCTGCGTCTATGTCATCTTGGCTACACCGTACATGGTGCTTCTTGAGCAGATGATGAGGCACATTCCCACGGAGGACGGTTTGACAGTGCGTGCACACCAGGAACACAGAAGCAGGAGACACAAGGCAACCGATGTCAGACATGAACATCTGGGCCCCAGCCACGCCGTGCTGCTGGTCAAAGTTGACCACACGCTTGAATGCACGCATACGTCTCTGTTTGCGACGAAAGGGCATGCTGCTGACTGGGTCCGGCAATGCTGTGTGCGCCCTTTTGACGTGGCTGCGAAGGTATGCTGCCCGATCGTGCCTGGACATGCACCGGGGTGCAGGACAGTGAAATTTGGCGTCTTCCTGTCGTTCGACTCGGCGCTGGACACCATCAATCGTGACTGTGGTGCTCTGCTGGTGCATCTATGACCACCAGATGGCCATGAGCCCCGGATCGAGACCGTCACATCTCCAAACAGCCCACCAACTCACCTGGCGGTAATGTTCATCTTTAGTATAGGCATTGGGGAACACTGCCCCGCATTTTCGGCAAGCCACCTGCCCGGCTTGTGTATCAGACACATCCGCGTCCATTGTCGGGTTGGTGTACCTCGATCGCCTAGGAGACCCTTACTCTCGCGCGAACTGGAAAAGATGACACCGGTATTTTCAGTCTGCTCTGAGCAGCTGCAAGAGGCAGGGCAGCAAGCGGTGCGCGGCGAGAGCACCGCCAATTCATCCGCGGACCGACCTCAAATAATTTTTTTTTTTCAACGTTGTCACGAAAATGTGGATTAAATTTTATTAACATGTAAAAGAAGGATGATGAAAATAAAATTTGAAATTTACATTGAAATGTTTTAAAAATTACGAATGAAAAAAAAACACACACAATGTAAACGATCGACCGAGCGCGGTGCACGCTCAAAGGAGCGACGCTGCTGGCTCAGAGCGCAAAAGCACCAATAACTCTGGAAAGTGCTGCTTCAGCAACATGGCTAGCTTTGCGTGCTGCGCCACATGCTGGACATGTGCTTGACTTGAGAGCCTTTGTCCCAAGAGATCGCGTTTCTGTTTGAGTTGTTCAACCCGTTGCTCCAACTGACAGTGAACCGTTTCTGATAGCTCCAGCTGCAAAGCAGCGTTAATGCCCTGGATCTGGCCATCCATTTGATCCAGCTCCCTGACAACATCAAGTCCATCGCCTGCGTTCTTCGCCAGTCCGTCAACGAGCCCGATGCACGAGGTCAGAACGGACAGGGTTGTAGCTTGCCAGTCTGCCACGTCTTGCAGCTGCTGTTCCAGGGTCTTGGCGTGCTGCATCAAGGATGCAAACCCAGCCTGATGATCATCGGCGCGCTCTGCTTGGGGATGTGCCAGCTGCACCACTTCATTCAGCACAAAGAGGCGCAGCTTGTTGAGGGTCTCACAAAGCTGTTCCCAGGCATCAGGCAGATCTTGCGGCGCAGGCACCAAAGCTGTGTTTGGGTGTTGAACGCACTGTCGCAGATCGTGTAATCGGTGAGTAACGCTGACAGCCCCTCTCGTCGCCACCGCCTCCAAAGCGTCGAGCAACTTCAGCATGAGATCCATAAGTCCATCGTTGACTTCAGTGAGCACCTGTTTGCGCTGGTGTGTCGCATCGTGCAAGGCGGTAACCTCGTCCAATATCGCCCCAAGATTCATGCATGGTGGCCTGGGTGTTGCAAAGGGGGCCAAGAGCTCAGAGTCATGCATGGCCAATGTCCGTCGCAATGATGCCAACACCGCTTGCAGTTCAAGCTGGTGCGCGCGGTCTTTTAGCTTTTGCAGTACTGATGCCAGTGTATCTTTCCCTGGTGTCAACTGTGTCAAGTGGTCACGCAGGGCTTCTTGCGCTTCACGAGCCTGGTCGAGCAAACAAACGGCCTCTTCGACTTGCGTTGAAGCCCAGTCCGTAGATGCCGCATCTCGCAGCCCTTGCTCGATGCTCTTGTGAATTTCAGCGGCAACGGTTGCCAGCTGAGGGTCGAGACAAACGATTCGAGATAGCAGCGCCTCCAGGTATTGAAAGGGATGCCCGAGGTTTTTTGTGGGTAGAAGCGCCTGAAGCTGCGCTCCCACCTCAACAACAAACGGGGCCGTAGACTATACAGGCGGGGTTGCATCAAGAGTAAGCATGAGATAGTGTGATGGGGGGCTTAAAAAAAATTGATATTATTGAGAGGATGAGCGGTTTGAACAACACCTCTGGCTTGGGCGGGATACGGGGCAAGTGTGGCAACCAGTTTGCGTGCCAAAGGCGGCGAAGCGGATCGGGCGCTCGGCAGTCTGTAAAAAGGGACCTCATCACGTCACCATGATCCTCTTGTTGTGCCACATCAAGAGGCGTTTGGCCCATCTACAGGCACCACAGGTCATGACACAGAGGTGAATGACACAGTGCCGAGGGAACAATCTGCACGTTGGTCCCAAGGATGACACCAAAACGTGCAACGGCGAGCTGAATTGTGTGGGACACAACCAAGAACATGATAAAGAACGCTTGTGGGAGGTTCTAACGTTGTTTTTGACCTCGACATCAACACCATGCTTCAACAAAAGAAGAGCCACTTCCTTGCGACCAAACTGGCAGGCCTTGTGCAGTGGAGTGTCGCCGACCTGTTGGGGTACAAACATGAGAATATCGTGCTTTAAATACTCTCACTCACGCTTGCAGCATTTGCCGCCAACGCAAAGATCGAAGCAAGCAAAAAGGCGGCGAAACTGACGGTATTTGCAGCTTGGACATCAATATTTTCCCTCAGCATGGCCGTCAAAACCTTGAGAAGACCATGCTGACAGGTCAAGAAAAGGGCTGAAGACGTGCCATTCTGTAACATCATGGCATCGACCAACATCACAGCATCATTACGCCCGTTCGCGGTGGCAACGCTCCGTGCAGTAAAACGGCCCATTTTAAGCTTTGACTTTGCGTGACACAGAACCACAGAGCAAGAAGTTTCACAACCACCAAGTGCGGGCTGTTCTACACACCCAAGTTCGGAAAGCCACGGCGGTATGAACGCGTTGAGTGCCCTTCCATTTCTCTATCAGCTGGACTGCCATGCTTTGGTTCTTAGTCCAACAAGCATTGTACAGCAGTAATCCGTCCGAGCTCATGGCAGCGGCGTTTGCTGCAAAGCCGTGTGAGATGCGACCCCTTTCAATCTGCGTAACCACGGAAGAGTGTGTGAGCAAAGAGCACGACGAAATGGCAAGCGATCAAGAAACAAAGCAACCTCGTCACGCACACACCCACCAGCCTTTTTGACAAAAATCTGCTTGTAAAAGTTTCTTCTTCAAGGACGGATTGCTTCTATCAACAGGAACAGTGTGTCATGGCCTGCAAAGAATGCAGTATTGAATCCAACGGCACCCACCCAAAGCCAATATGGCGATCGTTGTCGATGGGCCGCTTCTCCCGCAGGCCCGTGCCCGATTGGCGGTGAGGCGGGGTGCCAGGGAGACAGCGGCAAAAACAAAAATGGTTTTTGTGGCCACTGATGAGTCACGGGTTGCGAGCAGACAAGCAACGGCCGATGATGACATTCACGAAAGCAGAACGCACCCTTTCAGCATTAGCACGTCAAACGCTTGAAACAAGCCGCTCCACTGATTGTTTCGGCATCTGCAAGGGTGACTCATGGGTTGAGGCCATGCCACCTTGTCGAACGGGTCACTTTGTCAAGCGTCACAGTTGGGTCTGAAAAAGTCTAGCGTCTTGGCGTAAAAACTCGGTTTGGGGCCGACTTGCGAAACCTCGTGCCCATGCAATCATGCAAATGCAAGAGCTTGCGCCAACTTTACAATCCAGCCGAGACTCTGACTGGGCTTTGATGAAGGGTTGCATGATTCTGGCTTGAGCCGGCAGCCTTTCCCGCCGTGCGTTTCAAACAAGCATCATGAATTGGTTTTATTCAGACCGACAGATCTTCCTCCCCCTCTCCCAAAGCATGCTTGGCCCTCTAGACAACTGTCTTGTTTATCCTCCTGTCACCGTGATGGCAAATCAGTCCCAAACCCGAGCGACCATCGATGCCTCGGACTCAATTCAGGCCTCAAGCTGAACTGTGAATGTCGTCAATTCAGGTCTCAAGCTTAACTGTGAATGTCGTTAAAAGTTTAATAGTTACGACGGTCGGATTTAAAACTTTAAACGGTCATATGTAAACTTTACATGCGAAAAGAGTTGAAAGTTTCACTACTTTCGCGCTCTATGGTTCAATGTGACATAGATCACACTTTCGCATTCATTGCCATTTTTGAGTTTGTTTTTTTTTTTTTTTTTCGAATTCTCAGTGGCGCGCAGGTTCGCTGGGCTGCGTCGGTGCGCCGGGTCCTGGGTCAAGCAGTGACAGGCCCCCCGCGGTAAGCTGGAGCAGCACTCTTATCACGGTTCATTTGTATTGCGGTCCTCAGCCCCATCTCATCCGGCCCGCTCGGCCTCTCTTTGTTGCGCTTGTTTCAGAGGGTCATTCATCAAGCTGGTGAGCTCGGCCAACTTGTCGGCAAGATGAGCGACGTCATCAACAACAGCCGTCCTTCGGACAAGGTGAACCGCCTTGTTCACTTGCCCCTATTCTCGGTGACCGGGAAGTCGTCGATGTCTGTCATTCACCTCGTGTCTGCACGGAAAAAAGGACATGGAGGATACAAAAGCCTTGGAGGCAGCTCTTGAGCCCGAAGGCGTGATCGATACCGATGAGAACATGCAGCAACGGTACCGTAGCCAGCGCACTCGCAACCAACCTCAACGGAGGGCCCTCACTTGCTATCCATCTTACCATACTGCCTCTTTTGCTTTGGTACAGATGCCTGGTCTTGAGCAAGCTCAACGAACTTGTGCAGGCCTGGGTCAAGAAAGCTAGCAAGGAAGAGGTCAATCATGTTTCTCGAACGCCAATACGACTGGCACTCGCACTCACCGTATCCCACCCTATGCCACCCTATCCCAGTACAATTTTGAAGAGGAGGCCGCCAATCAAGTGGATGCCCGCCTGTTCACCTTTGGCTCATACCGCCTTGGCGTACAAAGCCGCTGTGCGTTTCATTGGATTGCTTCTTCAAATGCCGCTTTTATTCCCCCTCCTCAGATGACATGTCTAGCATCCAATTGTTCCAAATGCAATTCTCACGCGATGGTTTGATGCCACGTCATGGCCCGCGGGCACTGTGGTTGTTGGTCTTGCAGCGGGTGATATTGATACGCTGTTGTGCTTTCCACATCATATTAAGCGCGAGAGTTTTTTTGGCACGTTTTATCAGCTGCTCAAGGAGACGCCAGGCGTCACTGATTTACATGTACGTATAAATCTTGCCCTTTCTTGCCCTTGCTCTATTCAAAGATATGCTTTTGGCGCTGGCAGCATTAAATGCCGATGCACATGCTTGCCGCTTGTTTATAGGCGGCCGAAGGCGCTTTTGTACCTGTGATCAAACTGGCCATGGATGGCGTCGAGGTCTGGCCGTTGATAGTGACACTTGGCTTCTCAGCTGTTCGGTCTCATATTGTTGTATTGGCACTACCAAACTTACTCGAATCATCGCCCATCATCATCAGCTTGATCTTTTGTTTGCGTCTCTGCCCGTGGATCGTCTCGAGCCCACCTTGTCCTTGCAAGACGTGGATCTGCTCAAAAAGATCCACGAAGACGAGATTATGCGAAGCATCAACGGTAGGGATGCATGACGCCCATGCATCCTTCAAAGGCCAGGGCCCCTGAATTCACTCCACAACACCCATTTCCGCCCCTCGACTTCTTCTCAGGCTGCCGAGTGGCAGATGCGGTGTTGGAGGTGATGCCAAGCAATCTTCAAACCTTTCGCACTGCCCTGCGTGCCGTCAAGTTATGGGCAAAACGTGAGTCTCCTTGGAACCGGCTGTCTTTTGCAAGCTGTTCCCCATTTCATACAGACAATCTCACTCGATCGAACCAAACCGTTCGCACCTCAGGCCGTGGTGTTTACTCCAACGTCCACGGCTACTTTGGTGGTATTCATTTGGTTATTCTCGTGACGCGCATCTGCCAGGTCTGTCGTCCCCACGCTTCTATATCCAGACATTTGTTTCCTTGTTGGCTGCTTTGGTGTTTTCTACGAACCTGCAAGCAACACGTGCGTGGTTGCGTTCGTTCTCAGAATACTGCTGATATGCTCTGCCCACACCTCGTGCACAGCTTTATCCCAACGCTGCCGCCTCGACAATCCTGTGCAAATTTTTCCGCGTGTACTCTGATTGGTATGGCTCAAACTGGATCAAACACGCGCGTGAGATTTGGCTCGCTCATGGGTAGGCAACCTCAACCTCACTTGATTTTGTGCAGGGAATGGATGAACTCGCCCATCAAAATCAAGGATGTGGATGACCTTCACCTGGGCAAACGGCAATGGGACCCTCGGTATGGGCGTCGCTTGCCCATCAACATGAAGCTGCCGGCCTTTGTGAGTCGGCCTTTTTTGGTGGAGCTGGGTACTCACGTTGCTTGCCACGATTTTTCACATTTTAGGAGCAATCCGCGGGATCGATATGACTTGATGCCCATCATCACACCCGTCTACCCGCAACAGAATGCCGCCTTCAACGTGAACGAGTCGACACTACACCGCATTGTGACAGAGTTTTCTCGGGGCCATCGTGTGTGTCAAGACATCATGCGGGCCTCGAGCAATGTCCCATGGTCAGCCGTGTGGGAACCCATTCGCTTCTTCGACGAGTATCAGTATTTTGTCCGTGTGGTAGCCTCTGCTGCCACTGAGAGCGACCGCACGGAGTTTGAGGGCCTGGTCGAGTCCACAGTTCGCCATCTTGTTCTCAACCTACAGTACACGGATAACGTCGCCTACGCCATGGCTTACCCCAAGGTCCGTCGTCCCTCGGACCTCGCGTTCACGAGCGAGATGTGCGCGCGTGCGTCGACCTGATTGTGCCTGGCCTCTGATCTGTGCGCATGCGCTTGCATCCTTGAGAACAGGCTTATCATGAAGACCCTGTTGCCGACAAGGACGGCACGGAGGCGACAACCGGCCCGTGGCGCACGGCGTGGTACCTGGCGCTTGAGTTTGGTATCAAACAAGAGGGGCGCATCGAGCCTGCGCCTAGCAAGCTAGATCTGCAAGGACCGCTAGTGGCCTTTTACGGCCGCCTTCGGGATCGCACCGTGACCATGTCTAGGGTAGGGCTACCCCTCGCACCCGTTTTCGCTCGGGGTGGCATTGCCGTTTTTGTTTTTTTGTTTTTTGTTTTTTTGCCCCCCAACCCCCACCCCCCCCCCCCACCCCAAAAAAAAAAATGCTGGCTCACCTCATGGCGTGATCCCAACAATATCGCATCTGGCTGGAATCACAACAGTACGATGAGACGACAATGAACGTCGATGTACAAGCCATGAAACAGTATGTTCTTTTCGGATCATGGGCCCATTGTCTGCGCCTTGGAACTGCCTTCACTCTTGTGCTTACTTGTCGCCTGTTTTTGGTGGATACAGGAGCAAGTTGCCGGGCTATCTCTATCCGGGTGGTGTCAACCCGCATCGCAAGGTTCGCCTGAGAAAACGCACGCCATTCGGGTGCCCTCGCTTCCTGTTTGACTCTAGTACCCATGCGCCACCCGCTCATCGCCTACATTTCTGTGACCGGCATGTGTACGGGGGCGTTGCTGTCTGGAACATGCAGAAGCGCTCGAAGAAGAATCAGAGTGGCGAAGACGATGCCACAGCTGCGGCCAAGCGTGCGGCACTAGCGCAATAGGCCAGTCATTTTGTTTACCAGGTAACACTCGAAGGGCCAGGACCTGTGCTCGCCCTCGATTTTGCCTTGTGTATGCGGGTTTTGACAGCAGGCATAAATAAACCAGTCTTCACTCTCGTTGCTCATCCCATTGAGAAGAGATCACAAATTTCGAAATTGATTTGACAATGTGATTTGATTGAGCATCTGCCCCTTCACCTCAAACGCAAAGAAAAACTGCCTGCAAAACAGCGTCTCTGAACTGGGGGGCGACCTCTCGAGCGGCAGACTCGGAGTGCCAAGCAGGCAGAATGGACAGCCGCGAGCTAACATCCATACCATCCTACTTTTCAATCTTGGACATGGCAGCGGGATCCTCGATGAAGCTAATCTCCTCGAGGGTACAAAAGGCGATGCTTGAATTGGCATCGATGAGCTGCTGCATGTCGCTCTTGACCTGGTCAAGCGTGGCGTCATTCTCGCCCCACAACTGCAAGACTGTTGTTGTTTTTCAGATTTACCACATGTGAGTGCACCAAACCAACGGGGTTCATGTAGCGCGAGGGACACAGCGAATGAACGAAGATGCCAGAGGGCAAGCGGGGGCAGATCTTACCAGCCGTACTGTATTGCTCATCGGCTGGAGGGACGTGCAGGCGCTTGACCTCGAAATCGCACGGGCTGTCCACCACGAGATCCAACAAACGGTTGAGAACGGCCTTGTCAAACAAATGGCCTGACACCGAGATGAGCTTGGTGGGACGCGCATCCTGCGAGACTTCAGCAATAGTAGCCAAGATGTCCAGGGCCACCTTGTTCTCGTACTCGAGCAGCGCGTGGGCCGCCGATTCCATTGCCGTCTGGAGAAGCATGTCAGGACAACATGAGTGATATGGCGTTTTGGACCAGCAAACCCCATGACCAATCACGATTTGGCACTCGATGCGGTGTGGCGAGGACAAAGGTTACGACGGGGGCGCAGACCTTGAGCTCGGGCGTGGGTTGAAGCGCTGCCATCTTGACAAAGTCCGAGCTGCTGTTGGAGGCCGCGACGCGACCAATGCCAATCAACAGTTGATCCAGCTATGACCACAAGAGCCACCATATGGGAAAGAAAGGTCAGAGCGTGTATCTTGGACAAGAAAAGAAAGCGCGGAGAAGGTTTGACTGACCTGGCTTGGCTTGATGCCCTTGTCAGCAGCATAGTGCTTGACCATCTTGGTGGCGGCCTTGATCTGATCATCAGGGATGGTGAGATTGAGGTCCATGGACCGGGCCTTGAGCGCGTTCCAGCCTGTCAAGTGGTGGGCAATCTGGTAGGTTGTCGCGTCAGGGAGGGATGAATGGTGAGAGAATGATATCCGACAATGCTGAGCCGATGACGGTTCGGGATCAGCATTTTTTTGTGGTGGCGAGTAAACGAAGAAGGCAGGATCTTGACGCACCTCAATATTGCGACCCACGCCAAAGTCATCGGGGTTGATCACCTCGTAGGCACCTGGGTCAGACATGACAGCCTGGAGGAACGAGGCCCAAGGGCATTGTGAGAGGGCTTCGGATGCTTTGACGAATACAAAAAAAAAGCCTAGGCGCGTGGTGTCTCGCGCGGAGCTGGCGAAACGGATAAGGGCGGTGGGCAAGTGGGGCTGGAGTGATGACAAAGACACGGCAGTTGCTTGAGTGTTGCCCGACCTTGGAGTGAACACCGGCCTTGTGGGTAAAGGCTGAAGAGCCAGTGATGTAATTGTTGAAGGGGATCTGGACCTTGGCAGCAGCCGCAACGTATTTTTCCAGGTGGCGCAGCAGCTTCAAATCGTATCTAAAGCACAAAAGAGTGCGCGCGGGCAAGCATGAGACAGGGCAAGGCAGAACCCGATCGGACAAGGCGCCCCGTGCAGGCCGAAAGACGTGCTTACTTGTTCTTGACGCTCTCGCGGTCTAGCGTGTACATGCGGGCCAAAAAGCCTACAAGGTTGCAAATGAAAAGAAAAAAAGAAAAAGGAAACAAATAAAGGAAAATAATGAAGAGTCCTTCAGGGGGCAGGCGAGGCAAGGTGGAACAAGGCAAAGCAAAAGCGAGGACGAGACAGCAGTGGTGTAGCGGCATGTGGGCGGGGCGAGGGATCAGGCGGCAAGCATACCACCGAGGGGAGTGATGCCGTTGCGTTCACCGACGCCGAGGACGCAAGTGTTGATGTGAGTCGCTCCGGCTTGCAGGGCCACGAGGGCATTGGCGATACAGCAGCCCGTGTCGTTGTGCGTGTGAAATTCAATGCCTACACAACCACAATCGCATTGGTGACAATGAGTGATGAAGGTGGGCAACTCCATGTGGAATGCAGTTTGGGTGACTGCTTTATTGGGGGGGAGCTGCGGACCCCTGTGGCTTACCTGTCTCGGGCTTGATGATGGAGCGGACGGCAGCGACGGTCTCTGCAACTTGAAAAGGCGTTGCGATGCTGTTTCGGAAGGGCGGAGAGGCGAAAAAAAAAAAGAACCAAAGGCGTGATCAGGTCAGTGCTACTGTACGACTGTCCAAGGTTGGCCGTGGCTGACGGCGAGTGGGCTAGGTCATGCAGGCCAAGGGAGGTGTGTTGCAGCTGTTCCCAGGTGCGGGGATGTGCAGGGGGCGGGTGGGCGTGAGGACATACCCGACGGTATCGGCCAGGCCAACGCGGTTGACGCCGAGTTCGTCGATAGCAGCATAAATGTCCAAGAGCTCGGTGCGATCGCTACGAAAGGTATCTTCACAGCTGAAGCGGACCTCCATGCCGTTGTCCTTGACAAACTCAATCACCTCACGGGCGGAATCGATCACAGCCTGGGATAGATGCAGGCACATCAGTGGGAGGCGAGCCAGGGGAGGGCGGGTGCGCAGGCGGGTGTTGCTAGCGGGAAGGAAAAGGCGGCACGGGCTATTCGTCTATGGGGATTGACAAACCTGAACGCTTTTGCCATGGGAGTGACGGCGCAGGGCTTCACTCGTGGCCATGTACATGGAGACGCCATCGATGCCCGTTTCGACACAGGCACGGACATCGTCCATGTGACAACGGGTGTGGGCGACGATTTTGGCTTTGAGGCCCAAGTTGGCAATGGCGCGACAGTCTTCGCGAGCCTGCAAGGAGCACAAGCAGGTTGATTGGGATCGGAGGGGGTGGAGGAGGAATGGACCCGAGGGGGGGTGAGATGGGGTGAGGTCAAGGTTTGGCAAGACAACGAGAAGAATGAAGAGGGGACCGCAGAACAGGCACATGGGCTGAAATCAATCCATGACAGATGACAGCAGGCGCCGACCTGGTGGCTGGCAAAAGGGTTGACGAGCTCAATGTAGTCAACACCAAAGGTGTCCAGGAGCTTGGCAATGTACACGCGGTCGTGGCTGGTAAAGTCGGTGGACGAGAACTGCTCACCCTCACGCAGGGTGGTGTCGATGATTTCAAAGTAGGGCACGGCGGGAAATCCCGTGTCGGCAAACCGGAACGCATTGGCTGCGGCCGCTGACGTGTGGAGTCTTTGGCGCAGGCCGCCGGCCATACGCAGAGCCGCCTGCATGGCGCTGTTGCCTGTCTCTTCTTCACAACCGAGCACGATTCTTTGCAGCAGCCGTGACCCTTTGTACCCTCTACGCTGAGGCGCTGATCTCACACTCGAAAGCGGGTCGTGTAACGGTGTCTGCCGCAGCTCGACAGCTTTGTCGTCGTCAGTCCAATCCTACAGAGCGAGCGTGGCGCCCGGGCAAGAAGCAGACACAGGTGTCATCCGTTAGGGTGCACAGGCGTCAGGCAAAGACAGACACACTGACGGCCACACACACACATATACAGAGAGAGGGATAGAGGGGCCAAGGAGTGAGTGGCGAGACCAAGACAGACAGCCAAGACTCTGCAAAAAATCAGACACCCCCGCACACACACACACACACACACACACACACACACACACGAGAGAGAGTGTGTGTGTGCGCAGGCAGAGAGAGGGGGAGAGAGAGAGGAGCGACCCACCCCCCAAAAAAACTTACAATCAGAAAGACATCCAGTCAACACACACACACACACTCACAACGTGGGAAAAGTTGCGAAAGACATCAACAACAAAAGGAACTGGAGGGTAAAGCGAAACAACACACACACACACACACACACACACAGAGGCGGGGGGGCCAGAAAGAAGCGAGGCGGTGAATGAATGAATGAATGTTGCGCTGATGGGCAGGGAGAGGGGAAGGGGTAGTCATGGTGGCCAGTGTCAGGCGAGGACGGGGCCTTTTGCTGTGCTCGGCCACAGCGCTGCCGTTTGTGCGCATAAACAGAGTGTGTGTGTGTTATTGAAACATGGAAGGCTCATCCACTCCATTAGCCCCCTTAAACGGATACGCTGGAAGCTTGCGAGCCGGCCAAGAAACCAGCTGTACCTGTTGCTGAATAGTCCTTTGACTGGCTGCTGGCAGTGGCTGTTGTCGCTGTCGGTCGGTGCAATGCCTGTCGCGCGCCCCGCTGCCGTTTCACGCAAATGAAATGAGAAAAAAAAAGTCTCACACACAGATGGCCGGCAGAGATGACGATACAAATTCAGAGATGGGAAAGCGCTCTCACGCGGATCTAACGATGATTCATTGCAGAATAAGAGAAAACGACATGGGCGTGGCTCCATCGAGAGATACAGGCAAGATGAGTACTAAAAGATCGCACCTAGGCTTTCAGAGACACGGCCTGACTTGAAGACAAAGCATCACCAATATCCAAGGCAAAAGCAGAGGTTGGGTCAACGCGTCAACCCCCATCCATTGCGCAAACCACCAACACGCGGTTTGTTTGTGTTTTACGCTGCACACGAGCACGGGTTATACACATACAGCTTCATAAGCTTGCCCCGGGCTTGACATAACCACACCCGAAACGTACGCACGGGTTGCGCTTGAGCCAATCCCAGAGCACAAGATGCGGTTCATCGAAATACTTTTATATTTGCCACCCAAACCAACCAGTGCCCTTGAAACGAATAGGTATAATACTTTTCCCCCAGATCACTTGAAAATGTGTTATGATCGGATGAAGTATAATACATTTTGACGAGTTGGAAGGAAGTAAAATACTTTGATCTGATGATGCCGACCGTTACAAAGCGAGAGATTTGAAAAAACTGTTGATGGCCGGCCGACGACGGCAAACGGAGGCAGCGCTTGTGGAGCGGGCCGTGGCGCGCTGGCAATGGCGCGTGGCCGTGGCGCGGGCGCGCCGGGAGTACGCACAGATATCTTTGGCCCTGGACGGGCTTGAACAAGCTGCTACGTCGCCAACACCCCGCGTCGCAACCCCACCGTCAGCAGAAGCTGCTCCCTCTGACGCGGCGTCCATCTCGCCGCCACCGACCATGAGCGGGCTTGACGTTGCATCTCATCAGCCGAATGAGCATGAGGACACGGCCGACCTGTCTCTGCTTTCTTTGTCCACTTCTTCTTCCGCTGCCTCTTCCTTGAGCAACACGCACACCACCGCTGCCTTGTACAAACCAACGAGCGCCACAACCGTGGACATGCCCTGGGCCCGCGCCGACCTTGAGCGCCTCCAGCAGGATCTCATCCTCGACCTACGCCAGCTCGCCTCGCGCATTCACAACCGTCGTGCCCTCCTCCAGACTACCCCTTTCCCTGCCTAGACGTCTCTTTCTCGCAGGCTGGCCACCGGCGTGCTCCGATCGTGGCCATTCTGCCTCTCGCGTCGACACCCGGCACACCCTGCACACCCTGCTGTCTCTGCAGCCACGATATGCTCTTCACCCACCTGTCCTGTCCTGACGCTGCGCGTCTCTCTTTTGTATCAATTTCGAGTCAACCTTCATGATAATCCTCCTCTGTCTCTTCCGCGCCACATTCAACCTTGACCGTTGTTCAGGGAGGCTTCAAGAGTGCAATTGGCTTAGCCTTTGGCTCTAATTCTCAGCAATGGAGAAATCACAACGCAAACTCTACAAACGAGACCGCGCTGGAATTTAGATACAATGTTGGTTGTCAGTTTGACTTCAAAACACAACGACACCAAAATCAAGGTGGACAACACAAGTCAGTGCAGGAAGGGCACCAGACCTCACATGGGCCTGCCTCCAACCCACACGAGAATGACAAATAAGCCTGAAACGAGCGCAGCAGAGCCAAAGAGCAAGATTAAACCGCGGCTGTCAGGCTGCTTTCTGAATAACACAAAGCTGACGCATGGACACAGGATACATGTGGACATTTCTATAAACTCGGAAAGGGTCGCAAGACCGGGGCGTGGCCCGGGCCGATGCAATCGGAGCATGCTCATGAGTACGCTCCTTAGGCTATCGAGACCCGCTCGTACTGCATCGACTGGCGATAGCTGCCCAGGGGTGCCTCAGATCCATAAATACCAACGGCTAGCTCATCATCGATAATCTCCTGCTGATGTGCTGCCTCATCCACCTCGTAGCTGCCGCGCTCCGAGGTGTACTTGCGGTAAAAGAAGGCGCTGCCCACCAAAGCAACGACCACAACCGCACCCACCACGCCAGCAATCACGCCAGCGTTGTTGTTGCCCGAGCCCGAGCCCGCAGACTGAATCTCCTCACCACCTTCCGGTGTCGCGGTCGGACCTGCGTTGTCAATGGGATCGCTGGTGGCCAACGGCTTGGCAAGCACCAAAGTTTCGCTGCCAACCACAATCGGAATGGCCGAGTTTGACGCCACCGTCTCGTCAACCGATGCAATCTTCTCCGCACCGCCCTGCAGGGTCACCACCACGCTACCGCGCGAAAAGACAATGACAATGCCAGTCAGATCAACGCCACGCTGTGCAAAGCCAGCCCTGATGCTGGCACGCAGCTCATCAGGAGTGACTCGAGAGAACAGTTCATCAAAATCTGTCTGAATGACGAAGGATGTCGAGCGCTGCGTCGTGCTGGTGCTGGTCGTGCTCGAGGACGTGGTCGTGCTGCGTGAGGAAGAGGTTGTGGTCGTGGTCGTTGAGCTGCTTGTTGACGTGGTGGTCGGGGCGCTCGAAGAAGATGCTGTTGTTGTCGTGCTAGCAGACGATGACGAGGGTGTTGTCAGGACACCAGAGCCACTCTCTTCCGGCTCGGCCGTGGTAATAATGGTCGAGGCCACGGTGCTCTCCTCAACACCCGAGTAGGGCTCTTCGGTCGTGGGCTCTTCCGTGGGCTCCTCCGTGGGCTCCTCCGTGAGTTCCTCATCACCCGACTCCGGCTCCTCGGTGGGCTCCTCGGTGGGCTCCTCGGTCAATTCTTCATCGCCAGACTCTGGCTCCTCGGTAGGTGCCTCAGTAGGCTCCTCTGTGGGCTCCTCTGTGAGTTCCTCATCACCCGACTCCGGCTCCTCGGTGGGCTCCTCGGTGGGCTCCTCGGTCAATTCTTCATCGCCAGACTCTGGCTCCTCGGTGGGTGCCTCAGTAGGCTCCTCCGTGGGCTCCTCCGTCAGCTCCTCGTCGCCCGACTCCGGCTCCTCGGTAGCAGCTTCGGTAGGCTCCTCGGTGAGCTCCTCGTCACCCGACTCGGGTTCGTCGGTGAGCTCCTCCGTGGGCTCCTCCGTCAGCTCCTCGTCGCCCGACTCCGGCTCCTCGGTAGCAGCTTCGGTAGGCTCCTCGGTGAGCTCCTCGTCACCCGACTCGGGTTCGTCGGTGAGCTCCTCCGTGGGCTCCTCCGTCAGCTCCTCGTCGCCCGATTCGGGTTCTTCCGTAGCAGCTTCCGTGGGCTCCTCCGTCAGCTCCTCGTCGCCCGATTCGGGCTCTTCCGTGAGCTCCTCGGTGGTCGCGGGAGCCTGAGTCGTCGATGTAAAGGGCACGTCATCGCCCGAACCTGAGGCGTCCTCGCCTGTTGTGGTAGGCACAACCGTGGATGCAATGCCCGACCCAGCCTCGTCCGTTGTGCTTTCCCACTGCTCAGTGCTAATGTCGACCGTGGTCGGCAGGGTAGTGGTAGGAGCCATGGTGCTTGGCTCGCCTTTGGTAGTCGTCAAAGTATCGTCACCAGAGCCAGGATCATTTGTGAGCACGTCGGTGCCGGTGGTCGACAAAGGTGCTGCAGTCGTCCAGGTGGAATCACCAGAACTCTGCTCATCCTCAGTTGTCGGCTGCTCCTCGGTTGTCGTCGGAAGCGCGGTCGTGAGCGTCCCTTCTCCCGAGCCAGCGGGCTCTCGAGTCGTGGCTAGATCCTCGGTCACGGTTGACACGCCAGGGGCTGTTGTCGTCATGGCCTCTGATCCAGAGCCCTCTTCGGTCGTGCTTGTCGGGGCCATAGTCAGAGTGACCTCACCCGAGCCAGCATCATCGGTAGTCACCGCCGGGGTGGCTGTGGTTGTGAGCGGGCCAGAGCTCGTCTGTGCGGCAGTAGATGTTGTAACAGGGATTGTGGCTGTGGTGGTCACGGTAGTAGTCGTGGTTGTTGACGGTGGTAGCGTGGAGATGTGTGGTGTGGTGGTCGTGGTTGTGGTCGTGGTGGTCGTGGTTGTGGTCATCGTCGTCGTCGTCGGCGTGGTTGTCGTGGTCGGTGTTGTTGTCGTTGTTGTCGTTGTTGTCGTCGTGGTCGTGGGCAAAGGACGAACCAAGCGCGCATCATCGGCTGCCACAACGACAGCATCCCTATCAAGACGAGACACAGGAGATGGATGAGTGTCACGAGTCGACTTGAGCCAATCCAAATCAGTGAAAAGGGGCGAGAGCCGCCTCCCCGAAAAAAAAAACCCCGGTTTTCAACCAAAAACAAAAGCAGGGCTACTCACACAAAGCGGGCATCCTTGGCTTGAAGGGCTGCTGCCAACAAAAGATTGCGGTTGTTGAGACGAACACTTTGCAACAGTCCAACAAAAGGCTCTGTGTTCAGGGCATAGTAGGGATTATCGTTGCCAATGTGGATGGCATCCCCAGCTTGCAGATCGAGCGTGGTAAAGGCAGGATCGGTGGCAAACTCAAAGCGGGTGTTGTCCACCTCGAGAATGTGCTGGTTAGCGAGACGAATGTAGGTGAGCTCATGCCACTGGTCATCGTTGACGAGGACATCAGTGGGGATGGTGGTGACACCGGCGCCGAGGTTGACACGGAAGCGGAGCGCGCCGTTCAAAATGTCCACACGCAGCAGGTCCAGGTGAAGATCGCGCGCCTCAACGACCGAGAACACAACGCCATGGTTGCTGGCCGTGCGAAGCGCCAAGCTCAGCTCCGTGGTCGCCGCGCTCAAGGGGACGGGCAAGTCGGCCGTGACGCGCACGGTCGAGAGGCCAACAAAGTTGACTCCCGGGGCAGCTGCAGGGAGGAAGGGCGAGCAGATACCAAAGTCCATGAGAGGCGAAGCGTGTGCATCATGTCTGATGCCTTTCTGTGTTTCTGTATTGTGAGAATGGGGTACGACAGAGGTGATACATGAGAAGATTGGCCACAAACCTCGAGAGCAAAAGGTCCCCGTGTACTCGGGCCGGCAGGTGCAGAGAGTGCCCATCCAAGTATCGTCACAGGCGATGGCGCGCTGGCCCATGTCAGCCGGCAGGGCGGGTAGTTGGCAGGTGGTGGTGTCGAGGCCGTAACTTTCGGTGACTTCGTTCAGGAGCAGGTCGTGGCCATCGACGGCAAGGGCGTCAAGGCAGCCAATGAAACCGTGTGTGGAAGTGACCATGGCAAGGCCCGTATCAAGTACCGGAAAACCACCAATTAGTAGCCCCGAGCTGAGATCGAGGTGGCGGTTGCCGGTGGGCATGGCCACAAGCTCGGTGGCACCGTTCCAGTTGGCTTCAAAGAGCACGCGGCCATCGGGAAGGTAGATGGTGCGAACGATCAGGGAGCGACTTGAGCCGTCCAGGTCAGCAGGGCTGAGCGCAAAGGCGGCCTGGCCCTCACCGGAACCCACTTCGAGGCGCACGAGCAAGTGACCGTCGACAAGCTCAGCGGAGATGAAATCCTTGTACTCATGGTGGTGGGCCACAAAGACGAGGCCCTGATCGTGTGCCAGGCGAAGGTTCACCTCGATTGTGGTGCCATTGCGCGCTGGACTGAGGGGGCTTTGCATGAAGCTCTCACCAGAAAAGCGGGAGAGAAATGCTGAGGCCGAGCTAGCCAGGGCCAAGACCGCCAGCACAGGCCAGAGACGGCCGGCCATTGTCAGGATGGTCGGTTGGTCGTGTAGGTGCGTTGATCTGCGTTGAGGCAATCCAAGTCAGCCGCAAAGGTCTGCTTGGGCGTACGCGCTCGGGCCAAAGAACTATGGAAGCTAGCCAAGACGCGTCAAATACGGCAGTCAAGAGACCAGGCGTCCACTGTCAAGGAAATGTGGGCAGGGCGCAAAAGGGCAGTGTGACCACTCGGGGGGATCACGTCGAGGTGCTGACGAACAAGTGGATCACGGAACAAGAGTAGCCGGCTTTGAGATGGCAGCGCTCAGGGCTCAACGTTGCGAGTAAAGTACTCGGTTCGTTCTTGCTTGAGCGCCCACAACAAGAAGTGCGGCGCGATGGTGGATGGCGGATGGCGATGCGAAAGCACGCGAGCGAATGCCAGGCGCAGTGCGCGTTGCTCGGTCAGCTCGCTGGAGAAATTTGCGCTGATGAGCGCCAGAATCAAAAATCAAGGAAGCACGCCGCAAAGCGGAAGAGCAGGGGGGGGGGGGGGGGGGGGGGGGGGGGGGCCACTTTTTTTTAAAAAAAAAAAA